AGCTGGCCCTCAGAGGCTGGTTATGTGCTTCCTAGCATTGGAACTATCTATGGGGATGGCCTGCCATCCTTGGGATCTGCAACTGTGGTTACTAATCAGTGGCCAGAGCACCACCAGTGAGGTTTCAGTCTGAGGTGGTCACATACCCCAAATGCTATAAACAGAAACACTGTTTCTGTGAAAATGGGTAGAGAGATGTGTCAGTATATTACTAGCCTAGAAGGTAGCAAAAACAGGTAAAGCTACATAGTAAATTCCAGGCCAGTTTGGGCTACATGAAACTGTCTCAAAACAAACAAAAAATGCCCAGGTGGCACAAGCCTTTAATCCCATCACTTGAGAGGCAGAGGCAGGTGAATCGCTGAGATCTAGGTCAGCCTGGTCTACAGAGAGAGTTTCAGGCAGCCAGGGTCACACAGAGAAAACTTGTCTCGAAAAACAAAACAAAAAAAACCCACAAATGAAACAGCAAAATGACAAGAGAGCAGATCTGGTAGTGCACGCCTTTAATATCAGAACTCAAGGGCAGAGGCTATGGATCTCTTAAGTTCAAGGCCAGCCTACTCTATATAGCGAGTTCTAGGCCAAAGTGAGACCAAAAACAAAAAGCAAAACGGGGGAGGGGGAGAAACACACCTGGAACCCACCGTGACTAGGTTCAACTGATCCCCTTTTGCCTGCTGAGAGGCAACTACACATGAGTTGGCATTTCTTATTTACTTGATGCCAGGCTGTGCTCCCCTCTAACTTTTAATTCCATAGTAAGCAACCCTAGCTTTGCTGTGCAAGAGCTGAGAGGCCTTTCCCTTTTCACCTCTCCACAACCAAAGGAAGATGCTCTTGGCTGGCTGCCTATCAATCAAAAACCCTAAGCCTAAATACCTGACTTACTGCTTGTTACTGAGTAGCAAAGGGACTGTATGAGAGCTTACTACCAGCCTCTGACAGGCTGACCGGGGGAAAAAACACGCAGAACAAATGGTTAAGATTAATTATGTGTTAGAATAGTGTCCGCCTCCCAGATTCCTGCAGCCTCTGTAGACACAGGATGTCTCTCTTGTTTGTTGTTTGGTTTTTTTCGAGATAGGGTCTTCCTTATGTAGCTCTGGCTGTCCTGGAACTCACTCTGTAGACCAGGCTGGATGGACTTACAGAGATCCACCTGCCTCTGCTTCCCCAGTGCTGGGATTAAAGGTGTGTGGCACCACTGCCCGGCTAGCTCATCTTTTTCCTTCAGATTTATTTTTATGTGTATGAGTGTTTTGCTTGTGTATTTATGTGTGTGCATCACATGCATGACTGGTACCTGTGGAATTCAGAAGAGGGTGATGGATCCTGTGGAACTGGAGTTAGAAATGGCCGTAAACCATCATGAGGGTGATTCGAATGGAGCAACTGGTCTTAGCCACTGAGCCATGGCTCCAGCGCCACTATTCTGTTTCACCTTACTGGGACCCTGGGTGCTTGCGCACGGTTCCACTGGGGAGTCCCTCTGCAAAGGTTGGCCAGGTGCTCTAAAAAGTGGTTTTGGCAATCTCCATGTTCTGACTAGGGATTCCACCCCCAGGAGGCAGAGGAATCCAAGTTGCCAAGCTCCATTATGGAATACATTTCCTCTTAAAAGGTCTGAACCAACTGGGCTGTAATCCACTTGGGAAAGACCACTTGGGAAATAGGGGTGGGGTGGGGCTTAAAATCCAAGGCTGGCCTGGGCAATTTAGACCTTACCTCAAAATCTAAAAAGGAAAAGGGCAGGGCAAGGGATACAGTCCAGCAAGTGGTTACCTAGAAACCACAGGGCCCTGAGTTACTCCCTAGCACTGCCCCCCTCCGAGTGCACACAAACAGGAAGCCATTCAAAAACATGTGGGAGTGGGTTTTATGCAAAGTCTGGGAGGATGACAATTATACAACAGAAATAGCTTCTCTAAATGGCCTGGTGTCACTGCTCACACATCTGGAATGGTCACGGAGCCTCCAACGACTTAATGGCTGATCCTTTATCTCACGCCAGACAGGCTTAGCTAGAATTCCTTCACGGACGGATGTCACTGCTGGGGGAACAGTGGCTGGAGAGAGTGAGTCCCAGCTCCAAGGGGTCCTTAGGCTCCTTTTGAATCAGCCTTGCTGTTCTGTGAGGTCTTCTGGGCTTTGGCCTGGAGGATCTAGGTACAAAACAGGACTTTAGCCACTGTAAATTCATCAGTATCCCATCCCCTTTCACCTTCTTAACCAAACTAATGGCCACAAGCCAGGCTCAGTGTGCGGATCATGCTTGTAATCCGCCTCAAGGCTGGCAAGGTAGGAGAACTGACCCGAATTCCAGGAAAGCCTGAACTCTAGAGTGAGATTCCTTCACACACACACACACACACACACACACACACACACACACACACACACCCCAGAGAACCACAATTAGACAGCGGCCACAAAGTCAGGTGTTGGTTGTTTGGTCATAAAGGTGAAGACACACAGCATGGGTCTTGGGACCCAGCTGCAGGTCAGACTGTCCTACAGGGGACTGTCACAGTCTCCCCTCCACTAAGTGACCTTCCCACTGTTCCCCCAAACGGGAGAAGGGGCACAGAAATATCTTACTTACATGCATTTTGCTGAAACTTTAATTGCTTTCTTGCTAGTATTTCCTGACATCAGAAGCCTGTGGCAGCTCTATGACATGTGATAACTATTTTATTTAGCACATTAAAAAACAAAAAAAAAAACAATAAAAGGGCCTGCCTATATTGTAATTAGCTTCTAGACTTCACATGCTTAGGCCCTGCTCCACCGTTGCATTGGTGGGGGTTGTTTGTTTGGAGTTTTTTTCCTCTTCTTTTGGACAACTGAGGTAAAAGGTAGCAATTATGAGATGACTAGAGTCTAGCCTACAGCTTCCTGTTTGACAGGAAGAACGTGCGATGTTTTATGGTACTTATGGTTCTGGCGTCTCCGTGCTTTTACAGATAACTAGGGGAGAGGTCTCTCTGGATTACTTACTGCTTCTTTGGAAATGGCTGCTGCTGATGGTGTTGTGTGTGGGGATGCTTCTGGGGGCAGTTGCGCAAATTCTTCATCCTTAAACATCAGAAATGAGAGATCAGTGGTTTAATACAGCACACATGAGCATCCACCGTGAATAGCAGGAACTCTTAACTACTTTATATTATGTAGCTTTTGAAAGGCAAAAAATCTAAAATTTATATGTAATTAAAATGTTGATTTAAAGAAGTACTTTTGGCAGTGCTGGGGATGGGGTTGTGGTTTCACGTTTCCCACAAGCCTTTACCAATGAGCTCCACACCTAGTCCCATTGGAATTATTTTTAGAAACAGATTAAACAGCATAATAGATGTTCTTTATTACCAAGTAGTACTATATTGAATATGATGGTTTCTGTTGCATTAGGAGGATTAAAAACGCAGAGAATTGGCTGGGTGGGCATGTCTGTCATCTCAGCCCCTGGGAGGCTGAAGCAAAGGATCGGGAATCTGACTCAGTCAGATCTTGTTTGGAGGAAAAGAAAATTAACATTGAAAAAAGTTGTTTTCAGTTTAATCAAGTAGAAAGTAGCTAACCTTAGTTCCCTTTAGTTGAGGCGCAGGATCTACAGCATTCTCTTGTGACTCAGGGGAAGTAGATGACGTCACGACAAGGTTTGACTTTGGGGCCTGGGGAAACATTACGTCAGTGTAAACTGTCCTGCCCAGAAGCTCTTCTAAAGCAATATGTGCCTTGAAGCCATTTGCCTTCCTCTGTGTGTGTGCGTGTGTGTGTATGCGTGTGCGTGCACATACGTGAGTATGTCAGAGACAGAGGCAGACAGGGTCTCACTGTGTAGATCTGTCGACTTAGAACTCACCCTGCTGTGATTAAAGGTATGTGACTGACTACAGCTTTCTTTATTTTGTTGTTTTTGAGATGCATCTCACTGTGAAGATTAACCTGGAACTTACTATATAGACCAGGCTGGTCTTGAACTCAGAGATTCCTCTGCCTTTGCCTCCCAAGTGCTGGGATTAAAGGCATGTGCTACCATGCCTGGTAGACTAAGCCTTTCTTTTTCTTTTTCTTTTCTTTTTTTTTTTTTTTTTTTTTTTAGTTCAAGCTCATTTCCCTTTACTAGCCTTTCTTGACTTACATGGAATATAGTCCTGCAATAGTAAGTTAGTATTTGGATTTTGAGCATCCTATACACAAAACTTGCACACTATTTAGATTCTAGGATTTAAAATACTTAGTTCTAGGCCAGCCAGGGCTACATAGTTAGACCCTGTCTTAAAAGAAAAAAAAGTAAGCAGGGCACTGGTGGCACATGCCTTTAGTTCCAGCACTCGGGAGGGAGGCAGAGGCAGGCGGATCTCTGTGAGTTCGAGGTCAGTCTGGTCTACAAGTTTAGTTCCACGATAGGCTCCAAAGCTACAGAAAAAAAAAAGTGGTGGTGGTGTAGGCCTTTAATTCCAGCACTAAGGAGGCAGAGGCAAGAGTAGATCTCTGAGTTCAAGGCCAGCCTGGTCTTCAGAGTCAGTTCAAGGACAGCCAGGGCTATACAGAGAAACCCTGTCTCAAAAAACCAAAACAAATGAGAAAACTACAAGTAAAAAAAAAAAAAAAAAGACTAATGAGCTGAATGAAGAGACAAAAAGTTAACATTCTAAACTCTTGTTGACTTGAAAATTTATAGACAGTTGAACAAATGAAATAGATAGGAAAGAAAAGGAACCATTAGTTTAAAAGGAGAAGAATACAGGGCTGTTAATGAAGAATACTAATGTTCCTAAAGTCCTGCCTGCTCTGACTTGAAGACACTGGTCTCCGGAGAGGCCTGTGGGATGGCAATCCAGGTTCAGCATGAGTTCACTGACCTCTATATCTGGTGGCAGTTCAATAGGCTTTGGCTTCACATCTATCAGGTAGAAGGTACGTGACAGGAGCAAAAGAGAAGGGGGGACGTTCTCCTTCAGGTGGAGGTCCAGCCACTAGAGAGTGGACGATAACAAGACACGGAGTCAGAGACTGTAGTAGCCAGAGGACCTATGGTCATCTGCTTCCCTCCCGGACCTCATCCCAAGCACACTGGTAACCTGTGGCCCAAGGATGAAAACACCAGCCTCCTGGCTTCTGTCCCTGGGCAAGTACCTAGCAACTGCTGGTCACTTAAACTCGCCAGCCAATTCCCAATCCAAATCGCTACAGATCTTCTCTAAGGAGAAAGATGGTATCAAAGAAGACACCAGAAGCCAGGGAATCCTGCAATCTAGACTTGGGAGGCTGAGGCAAGAAGCTGAGTTCAAGGCCAGCCTGAGTTACCTGGTAAGAGCCTATCTCAAAGTGATTAACCACCTGTTAACCAAAGAAATCAACATTAGAATGAAGGTTTTGAAGCATCAAATTGGCCAAGTTTTTTGTTTGCTGTTGTTCTTTATTTTATTTTTGCTTTGTAGCCCAGGCCTCTTCACTTGGGATGCTCTAGGCACAAGACTCCTAAGTGCTGGGGTTCAGGCATGGGCCACTGGGGTGCAACTGTTTTGTAAAATCAACACACAACAGTGACACAATACTGTTTTGTACTTTGCTTTTGTGTGTGTGTGTGTGTGTGTGTGTGTGAGAGAGAGAGAGAGAGAGAGAGAGAGAGAGAGAGAGAGAGAGAGAGAGAGAGATGTATAAGTGTGGGTCCGAGTATGAAGGTCAGAGGACAACTTTTGGAAGGCATTGTGTCCTTCTGCTGTTGATTCTGGAACTGGAACTCAGGTGTCAGGCTTCTGCCAGATGAGCCATCTTGTCAGCCTTTTCCATCCTTTGCTTCTTATCCCCACTGAAATACCGTAGGAAATACCTTGATTCTTGTCAGTTGATGCAGTAATGCCCCCTGAAATATTTGGACAGGTTTCCATTGTATGTAAATGTCATGTTTTACTTGATAATCCTATTTACCTTTGGGATAATTCTATTAATTAAAAATGGTACTGCAAGGATGATGGTAGTAAATGCCTTTAATCCCAGCACTCAGGAAGTAGAGGCAGGTGGATCTCTGAGCTCAAGGGCAACCTGGTCTACATTGTTCTAGCAAGTGTTACATAGTGAGATCCTGTCTCTAAACAAACAGAATAAAATAGAGTGCTTACTGCTCCTGCAGAATGCCAACTGCTCCCGCAGAGTGCGCACTGCTCCAGCAGAGTGTGTACTGCTCCTACAGAGAACCTAGGTTCAGTCCTCAGCACCCACACCAGGCGGCTCACAGCTGTCTCTAACTGCGTGCAGCTCCAGGAGATTATCAGATGCTTCTGGCCTCCATGTGTCTGTTGTTCTCAGGACATCCTGCCCTCTACGGCTCAGGCTGGCCTTGAACTCTTGGTGATCCCCATACTTCAGCTTCCTGAATGCTAGCATTACAGGTATCATCTACCAAGCTAGGCAGTGTATGTGTTTTTAAATTTTAAAAGATGATGCAGTTTGTCTTCATGGAGTTTTTATTTTTCAACTAGCAGTGCAGAAGTGCCCTTCTATCCAAGCTCTAACAAAGTCTGGACTTCACTGATGTGAACTGTGTCTTTGTTACAAGATCGTTCACATGTTTATCATTTTAAATATCTTATGTTTTCTTGAAACAGGGTCTTACTCTGAAGCTCAGGCTGTCCTAAAACTTACTGCACAGCCCAAGCTTGTCTCAACTAATGGCACTCCTTCTGCCTCAGCTTCCCGTGCACTGGGATCACCCTCTACAAATGTTCATCTTCCAGCTATAGCTAGTGTAATGTGTAAGAGGAGAATAGCTACCTGACATGGCTCCTGTCCCCAAATAATCTTCACATGTCATGGTGGTTTTTACACTGGTAACACTGAGGACCCCACAGAAGCTGTTCCTTGGTTTTCAAGTGTGTTGCTGCTGTCAGAACCCAAGTGTGCTCTCTGATGGGTGGTACAGACATCTACTACCAAAGCCAACACTGTGTACTGATTTGGAGCACAAGAGGAAAAAGCAGTCAAAGTGGGCTCCTGGACAAGGTCTGGACCCTGCACAGGCTGATAATGATGACCCTTTGTAGGGGAATTTTTGACAAGAAATTTGGTGGAGGCAAATTCCAAGTCGGCACCAACATCTCCCAGATACACACACCTCCAGTTATTCAAACATCAGTCTAGACCAGTGGTTCCCAACTTGTGGGTCATGACCCCCTTGGGGATTGAATAACTCTTAGGTGACAGGGGTCACCTAAGGCCATGGGAAGACACATATCTACATTAAAATTCTTAACAGTAGCAAAATTAGTTATCAAGTAGCAACCAAAGAATGGTATATTGGGGGTGGGGGCGGGGCTCACCACAACCTGAGGAACTGTAGCAAAGGATAGCAGCTTTAGAAAGGTTGAGAACCACTGGTCTAGATGCTTTATGAAGGGATTTTACAGATGGAATTGAGGTCCCAAGTCAGTCTACTCTGAGATAAGATCAGGGGGGCTAGACCTGGAGGCCCAAAATGAGTGCAAGATTTGAAGCATGAGCCGTCCGGCACATGGCAGGTTTTGCCGATGGAAGAGGGGACCAAGAGGTGAATGCTACAGGTGGCCTCTTGGCGCCGAGAGTAGGTGGGCTGGCAGCCAGGGAGGAAACAAGAACTTCTTCCTGCCTACAGCTGCAGGGAACATGGCTCAGCCAACAAACTGAAGGCATGTGGGAATGGATTATTCCCCAGAGACTCCAGAAGGCAATACAGCCTGCACTTGTGACCCTTGGGTTGCTCTGTGATCATTTCTAACCATGGAGTTTGTAATAGCATTATAGAAGACTGTGTGGTTCCCTGTCCCTGTCCAAGGGGGAAACAAACAAACCTCTTTAGGGCATGTCTAACTGCTTGGTGACATAAAGCCAGTTAGGTATGGTGGTTTAACTGTTTGGACCTGAAATGGTTCTCCAAGTTCCATGTGCTCAAAACCTGCTCACCAAACTATGGTGCTGCTTTTAAGGGGTGAGGCCTCACGGCCTGAAGGGAACTGAAGGGTTCTGAAGGGAACTAGAGGACCTTGTCTCCTTTTCCTTTGCCTTTTTAAAGAACCAAACAACAATAACAAAACAGGGTCTCATTTCATAGCCTCTAACTCACAGAGACCTGCCTGCAGCTATCTCCCAAGAGCTGGGATTAGAGGCGTGCTTGTCTTTCTCTGCTTCTTGACCACTGTAAAATGAACAGGACATCTCTGCTGTGCAGTTTTGTAAGGTAAACTGTGCTGGCAAAGAACCAGAGAAATGGGACCAAGCAACTGCTGGCTGAAAGCTTGGAAGCCGGGAGCCAACACAAATCTCGCGCCTTCGGATGCATGTTGTCAAGGCAACGGACCGCTGGCTAATCCAGCCTGCAAAGCAGAAATCAGCACGTGAAGTGGGGAGGGCTGCCGTGAAGTGGGGAGGGCTGCCGTGCTGCTTGCCTCTGTGAGTTGCTGCCGCAGTTGCTCCTCCGTGAGGCCCAGTGATCGCATCCCTCGGGCCCGGCAGGCGGACTGGAGCTCTGACACACTCAGAGCCTTCACCCCTTCTGTGGCGATTATCTGCAAGACGTGGAGAACAGTGTTAGATCTTTGGCTTTCAGTTTTACTCAATGCCTGTATTTCAGAAAAATGGACAGAACCCCCAAATCTGATGCTTTGGCCCTTTGCCCCCAACACTGACTGCTGCAGACCAGAAAGGTAGCGGTTGAGAGGCAAGGGTGGTGCTGATGGGCAGCAATAAGATACTTATATATCCACCCCCAACATTTTATCAGTAGAGTACTTCCTGTCTTGGTTTGGATTTTGCCTGGTTGTAACATCTACTTTTCCTTTTTAAAGATTTATTTATTATGTATACAATATTCTGCCTGTATGTATGCCTACAGGCCAGAAGAGGGCACCAGATCTCATTACAGATGGTTGTGAGCCACTGTGGTTGCTGGGAATTGAAAAGCAGCCCTTGCCATCTTGCTCCAGCCATTTTATTTATTTATTTATTTATTTATTTATTTATTTATTTATTTATTTATTTATTTTGGCTTTTTAAGACTGGGTTTCTCTGTGTAGCCCTTGGCTGTCCTGGAACCCATTCTGTAGACCAGGCTGACCTCGAACTCACAGAAATCGCCTGCCTCTGCCTCCTGAGTGCTGGGGTTAAAGGAGTGCACCACCACGGCCCGGCTCTATTCTGCCGAAAAAAGCTTTCGCACACCATTTGCCACGAGTCTCAGTGCTGTCTCCCTGTCACCAGCCCAGGATGAGCTGAGTCCTCTGGCCCACATGTGACCCAAAACTACAGTTCTTCTGGGATCAGTACTGTTTACACCAGAGTTCTGAAAGCAACACCCGAAGTCTAATAGGGCAACGTGCTCGTGTCGTCTCTGCTTTGGGAAACCTGCTCCCGGCAGACTAAGACAGCAGCTGATTTCGATTCAACAAACATTCTTTCCACGTTTTAAAGGAGCCTAATTAGGAGTTATACCCCAAATGGTGCCTGCTGCAAGCTGGCTTGCCTTGGTTTTCCTCCTACCATGGTGCTCTGCCACCTTGTTGTTTTAACCAGACTAACTCACCCAGCAGAATATTAACTTTGGCACCAGTTCCTGTGCAGGAGAATAGAGGTGTGTGTGTGTGTGTGTGTGTGTGTGTGTGTGTGTGTGTGTGTGTGTGGTGTGTGAGGGTAGAATGCTGCCAAGAAACCAGAGCTGATATTTCCTTCCCAGCGGGTGCTAACTACTTTAGATTAGTCCCAGTAATCCATCCAGATTACTCGCTGCCTACGACAGCCTTTTCTGGAAGACAGATCCTGATACAACAAACAAACACTGAAATGAGTAGTGAAACTGGAACTTGTCATAGCGATGGCTTTTTTAAAACATTCATTCTGCCAGAATACTTCTATGACAGGCCCAACAGCAAACAGCGCATTTCACAAAGGTACCCCCAGATGCCTCCGGACCCCCGTTGCTGGGCTGAGGCTCTTACTTCGTCATCTGCTTTTATAGACTTCAGTGTCATCAGGAGCTGGAAGCGGAGCAAGTTGTTCGTTCCGAAGGCCTGCAGCTCCAGCAGCTTGCACAGGGCAACCAGCTGGGGTCGATCCAAGTGTTCCAGGGCTAACTGATCCTCAAAGAGTTTAGAGAAGCGAACTATCTCTTTAGTGCTGGGCTTGTGGCCTGTCTGGACCTGGGCAATGGGACAAAGGGCAATTAAAAGGTGTTTCCTATTTTACATAAACCTCCTAGTAGACTATTTGAGGGAGATGGCAAAGCAGTTAGAGACTTTATATATTGTATGGGTGGTTCATTGGGAATAAAAAAAAGGTCTAGTGGGGAACTGTGGCTCAGTGGGAACCCGGCACCTGGCGTGCGTGCATGCCAGGTTCAATGCCTAGTCTAGCCCCACCCCCCAACAAAGCTCTTCTTAGAATCAAACTCAGTGACTAGAAAAATCTTAAGTATTTCTAAAGTTTATACTGATCTTTCTTTCCATGATGATCACTTTAAGGTGGCCTTTGCTGCTGCTGTTTTGCAAACTACTCTAAGTGTTTAAAGTGTATATTTATAATTTAGATATGTGGCATTTCAAAGACTGAACACTCTCGATGATCCACGAGGACACGCTTCTTCTGTAACTCCAGCCCAGAAGTCGCTGGCCTACTGCGAGCCCCTGACACCTGTTTTACATAGGAGAAAAGCTGGGAAGAGGCATCTCCCAACTTGGCTCGGTTTCTCTTCGCCATTTCTGTCATTGTCTCTTGAAGGAATTTTGCTATTTCCAATTTTGCCGCCATCTTTTTTCTTTGTTTTTCTTCCTTAAGAGAAGAGGAAAAAGTTAATCACAAGTGCAGGTTGGCAGTGACGAGAGAAATAACCTCCTCCCTGCTACTGGGCACCCCCACCACACACATCACAGTAACACTGTTAGCAGGCCCGGTTAAGTTTGTAAGAACCCAACCACTGTAAAGGGGCTTCCACTTAAACTGTCTCCTTAATCTTGCATTTAATTCTCATTAAAGCAATGATTGTAAGTCCCAATGAAAGGCTCTCTTATTAGATAAGTCACCACCTCCTAACCTCACCTAGGTTGCTACTTAAGCCAGACTCTGGAAGATGGCTCCAGATTTTGCTCTACAAGGAAACTAACTCCATGCTAATCATCTTTACAGTTTAAATAGAAAATATGCAATGCACTGTGTGCTGTAATAGATTTGAAAAAAAAGTACCATACAGAAGAGAATTAAATATACATTCTTTTTGTTATTGTTTGTTGTTGTTTTGTTCTGTTTGAGACCGGGTCTCTACAGATCCCTGACTGTCCCAGAACTCACTATGTAGACCAGGCTGGCCTCAAACACATAAAAATCCACCTGCCTCTGCTACTTGAGTGCTGAAATTAAAGGTGTGCACCACCATGCCTGATTTAACGTACATTTTTTAATAGATTTATTTATTTGTTATGTATATAGTGTTCTGCCTGTATGTCTGCCTGCAGGCCAGACCTCATCACAGATGGTTGTGAGCCACCATATGGTTGCTGGAAATTGAACTCAGGACCTCTGGAAGAGCAGCCAGTGCTCGCTAACTGCTGAGCCACCTCTCCAGCTCCTTAATGTACATTCTTTAGACACTGTTGCCTAGTAGTTGCAAATCCTCATTCGTCATCAGAAATACAGTGGTTATTTTTGAAATAACCATGGTCAAAATGCTGGGCACAGGGGAGACAGAAGCGGATATAGTGAAGTCACTCTTTCAAGAACATTATCATTAGAATGCTGGGGGTTGTTTCCAGATCCTGATTATTTTAAATGTAAGTAAATTAAGGCCTGCAGTTCTCGCAGCTTGCAAAGGGCATCCAGCTAGAGTTTAAGTAAATTAAACCATCTTCAGGCAGTTAAACATTATAGTTTGATTTTCCACTTTAATCGCAAATTAAAGTCTAGGGGCATAGCTCAGTGGTAGAATGCTTGCCAAGCACCCACGAGGCCCTGAAGTCTATTCCTAATATCACTAAAAGAAAAAAAAAAAAAAAAAAGGAGCCAGATGTGGTGGTGCACACCTTTGATCCCAGCACTCAGGAGCCAGAGGCAGGCGGATCTCTGGGAGTTTAAGGTCAGTTTGTTCTATATAAGGAGTTCTAGGCCAGCCAGGGCTGCATGGAGATGACCCTGTCTCAAACAAAACAAAACAAAACAAAACACAAGCAGGAAAAACGAACTTTATCTCAGATCTATCTTCCAGTCTCTATTCTTATTGTCAGCCTCATGATTTCAGTTCTGCCTATTTCCTTCTCCTGGCTCTGTCCCGTTCAGTCCTTCTGCCGGCAAAATTACTTTCCTAAAATACAGAGCTAATCATGTCTCCCATTACCACTTCAAGTTCTAGCTTCTCTTCACCGCAGTCAAAGGCAAAGTTCAAATTCCTGAGCGTGGGCGATGCTTTCCAGCCTGACATTCCTTTTGTCTGTCTCCCGCTACTGAATCCTTGTCCAGCCTTCTCCCAGAGCTACAGATGGTGGTAAACTTTCACCCTTTCTCTGAACCTCAGCTCCAAAATTCCTTCCATGAAACATTTTCTTGTTTTTTACATAGCATTTTCCAGTCTTACAGATGGACAGATTTATTGTCCCCTAGGAGTGCTTTATGACACTGTCTAGTAGAGACACAGTGGCGGGGTGGGGGGGAAAGGATGGACGGACAGACGGACTTCTTTTCTAGCCCAACCCCTTTGCAGTCACTAAGACACCTTCCCTAGTTTACCTCTCACAAGTACTGAGGATAAACCACACCTAGGCTCATTAAATAAATAACAGTAGATGTTTGTCTTCTTTATTATTTAAAATAAACCTTTAAGGATATTTATTATTATTTTATGGTTATTTTGCCTGCATGTATGTATGTCTGTCCACAGAGGCAGAAGGCATTGGATCCCCTGGAACTGGAGTTACGGATGGTTGTGAGCCACCATATGGGTGCTGGGAATTGAACCTGGGCCACTGCAAGAGCAGCCAGTGCTCTTAAACTCTGAGCTATCTCTTCAGCTCCTTTATTATTTTTTATTTTTTGGAACTCAATATGTAAACCAGGTTGACACTGAACTTACAGCTCCCTTCCTTCCTTTCTGTCTCCATCTCTTTCTCCTCTCTCTCTCTTTCTAGCAGTTAAAATAAAAACAGAGTGTAATGATGCACACCTTTAATCCCAGGACTTGGGAGGCAGAGGCAGGAGGATCTCTGTGAATTTACAGGACAGCCTGGTCTACAGAGTGAGTTCCAGGACAGTCAGAGCTACATAGGGAAACCCTGTCTCAAAAATAACCAAAACAAACAAATTAATAAAATATAGTAGAGATAGAACATTCAATAAACAGTAATAAGAAAATTAAATATTTACATATAAAAATCCTGATACCGATATTACACACTTTCATATTATCAAATTTTCATAATAAAACAGACTGGATTGTACAAGCAAAGACAAAATACAAAACTATAACAATCCTAGAAAAAAAGTAGTAGAAAAGTTTAACTTGGGGCTGATGAAATGGCTCAGGAGTTAAAAGCACCAATTTCCAGAGGACCCGGGTTCAGTTCCTAGCACCTACATTACCCTCTGTAACTCCAGTTCCAGGAGGTCCAATGCCCTCTTCTAGCCTCCTCAGGTACCAGTCAAGCACGTGATGCACAGACATACATGCAGTCCAAACACCTATACACGTACAATCTAAGTGACCTTGGGTTTGTGAACCAGCTGCCAGCTGTAGCTCCAAAGGCATGACCATTGAGAGTGAACCACATTTCCCTATCACTGGCAAAGACCTGGGATCCATTCACAGCAATGGAAAGGGGAAAAAATGCTAGAGCCATTTCCAGGAATGGGGGGAAAAATAAGGCACAGACTAGGAGAAAATATTTACAAAGTATATATTTGATAAAGGACTTGTATATAATACACAGAGAACTCAAAACAATAGAAACAAAATACCCAATTACAAAGTGGGCAAAAAGGAGCTTTGGAGATGGCTCAGTGGGTAAAGTGCTTGCTCACTCAGGCATGGGGACCAGAGTTCCACCTGCCTGCAGTCCTGCTCTATGGGACACAGGAGCAAACTGGCCAGCTATACTAACCAAATCAGTGAGCTGTGGGCTTTAAGTGAGAGACACAAAGTCTCAGAGCTGATTATCTATGTATCTGTCTGTCTGTCTGTCTGTCTAATCTATAGATATCAGAACTCTCTATAAAGTGCCTATCCACACCACACACACACACACACACACACACACACATTAATGGTGGGCAAAATAAACATACATTCCCTCAACCAGGTGGTAGTGGCGCACTCAGGAAGGCAGAGACAGGTGGAACTCTGTGAGTTCGAGGAGGCCGACCTGAGATATACAGAGAAACCCTGTCTCAAAAAGCCAAACAAAACAAAACAAAACAACAACAAAACATACATCACCTCAAAGAAGTTTTAGCAATGCCAAAGCAGCTATCCGCTACACACCTATTAGAATGGTTAATATCCAAAGTACAGTGTCAAACACTGGGGAAGACAGGAAACGGCATGCTTGGGTGGAAGGCAGAATGCAGGGCTGCTCTGGAAAACCGTTCAGCAAATTTTTACAACGCTAGATACAGTGTTACTGTGTGCAATCACTCTTGCTCAAGTTAAAAAAAAAAAAAACCTGAACACAAATATTCATAGCATTTTTACTTATACCTGCCCAAATTAGAACCACTCAATTTCTAAAAGATGAATGGATTTAAAAAGCACTTTTACATTCATAAATAGAATTAAAATATTTTCATAGAACTTCATTATTAACTTTTTCTGCATTGGATCTTCAAATATGGAGTTATAGGAAATTGTGAGATGCTACATGGTGCTGAGAACTGAAGCAGGTTCCTCTGCCAAGGGCAGAGAGTGCTCTTAACCACTGAGCCATCTCTAGTCCCTTGTGCAAGAACTGTAAACGCATACTGCTAAGTGGAAGAATCCAGTCTGGAAAGGCTTCACAGTGTGTGATTCAAAGGACATGGCATTCTGGAAAAGGCAAAACTGCAGAGTGAAAACATCTGCAGTTGCCAGACTCAGAGAAACACAGTAGGTACAAACAGGTAGGGGACTCTGAGTTTCAGATGGCGAGGCTACTTACTCCTCACGACACTGTGACGGTGGGCAGGCCAGTGCTACGGAGCTGACAGAGCTGCATACCACAACGCGTGAGCCCCAGTGTCAAGCACGGGCTTTCATTAATAACAGCGTATGACGTATTAACATCAGTTCCTCAGTTACAACGTGCGCCACAACGACACAGCCCATGGGAAAAGGGTGTGGTCCATGGCAAGTCTGTACTTTCTGCCCGTTTTCCTGGAAACCTACAAAACTGCTCTAAAAACTAAAGTCTATTCATTTTTTAAAAAAGGTTTTAAAATCCTGTATACCTTTTTGGATTCACTTTCAAAAGTTGATGGCAACATGTCTGGGAAGAGCTTCAGAAACACTGGTATCAAGAATTCCATAAAAGGTACAATTATGAACACCATAAATGGAACCAAGCGGAAGACATCAGCGCAAGTTCTCAAAAGCTAAAGAGACAAATGCATGAGCAATATTACACATCCAGGACATGCCCAAACCAAGCAAGAACGTCCAGCAGAACACAGCCTGCCTTGGTATTCAAAGCGCGTAAAAAACTAAGGTTTTCTACAACTGGAAAGGTCAAGTCTTTCCTTCAATGAAGCTCTGAAGTAGTGTTTATGGGCTACCCTTGGAGAAACCTATGACAATCAATATGCATTAGTGGCATCTCTTAAGGTTCCACATTTTGATAACACAGTATTAGTTAAAATTAATTTTTCCTTCTTGAGAGGAGGGGTTTACTATGCTGTCCAGGCCGATCTTAAGAGTCCTGGACTTAACTGATCCTCCCCCCTTAGTGTTCCCAGTACCCAAGATTAATAGTATGTTCCAATGCACTTGGCTTTAAAATTGGTTTTTAAAATGCATATATATGTATATATATTTAATATATTAACAACATTAATATTAGGTTAGGATTAGGTTGTCTTACGAGACAGGGTTTCTCTATGTAGCCCTGTCCTGGGACTCATCCTTCTGCCTCTGCCTCCAATGTGCTGGGATTAAAGGTGTGCGCCACCACAGCCTGGCTTATATTTCTAATATACAAAAATTTCAAGCCTCTCAAATCCTTGAAGAGTTAAAAAAAAAAAAGCCACACAGAATTAGCTGGAGAGATGGCTCAGCAGGTAAGAGCACTTGCTGTTCTTCCAGAGGACATGAGTTCGGTTCCCAGCATCCACGTCAGGTGGCTCACCATTGCTCCAGGGGAGCAGATGCCTGTGGCTTCTGCAAACACCTGTACTTGCATGCACATGCCCACAAGCAGACACACACTTTTACACACCTTAAAATAATAAAAATGGAATCCTAAAAACCTCACAACTCTGTAGGCAGATATTCTAGCCAGTTGAAGACAAGGTAAGACGAGATCAAAACAAGCTCTCTGGGCTGGGAGGGCTTGCTCCGATTCTCAAGGAGGAACCCTGGCATGGCACGAAGCTTTGGTTTCTGATCAGTAGCTATAATTTCCATCTTAGGGTGGGGAGCACTCTGCATCAAACCCAGGGCTTCGAGTATCATCAGGAAGTCACCTAAGGATTTTTACGGTGAAGTTTTACTTTTGCGTTTTCCATTTCAAATAGGATTCTTGCCTACCCTTCGCCTCTCTCGTCTCGATAGCACCTGTCCATGCAGTAGCCTCCAAACTATTCTGGCAGCAACTTTGGTGTCGATCCAAAGTAAGTAGAATCCATTGTAATAATATTTGAGTTCGTGCATGATTTTTTGTCTAAAGGACAAAATTTTTTGCCTTTCTTCTGCAGTCTCTGTCTCCACTTCTCTGGGAGGCTGAGGGCTCGCTGGCTTAGGTTTTACTGGGGTTTGCTCCGGCTGAGGTTTACCAGGGATATTCTGTAGCCAGCACGTTGTGTGTAGCTTTTGTGTGAGTCTAGCTCGTAAAGGGTGGGCTTGAGTGCTTGGTAGACTGGGACAGGAGTACTTCCTGCTTCCATAGGTCGTCCGAAAATGAGAATCTGGCAAGTGGAGAAACGCAAGTGATAGGGAATGGGAGCAGGAAGGATAGAGAAAATGGCTGGGCAATCTGGAAAAGAGAACAGTATTCTTTCAGTGAGATGTATCATTACAAACAAAAAACAATAAGCCTGTCCCCAACTGATGTTTACTAATGATCGGAATGTAATTGTATGTGTGTGTATACTTGCGTGTTCCTGGGCATTAACCTAGGACCTTACACTTCCTAAGAATGTACTGTATCATTGAACTCCAACCCCTACTCCTCAGCCAGAGATACAACTTTGGTTCTTTTTTTGTTTGCTTGTTTTCAGTTTTTTCGAGACAGGGTTTCTCTGTGTAGCTTTTGAGCCTGTCCTCGAACTTGCTCTGTAGACCAGGCTGGTCCTGAGTGCATAGAGATCTGCCTGCCTCTGCCTTCTAAGTGCTGGATTAAAGGTGTGTGTCACTAAGAAGACAGTGCTAACAACCAAAAGTAGTTCACCTATACTAGGCCAAGTGTTCAACCACTGAGCTGTACCTCAACCCATAGAACTTCTTAAACAGCTGAACTGTGCTCAATTATTAAACATATCCTTAGAAAAATATTAATAGAATGGTGATTTGCTATAGCAAGTTAGAAATTCTGTAACTATTATTTTAAATATCTAGGGGCCAGTGAGATAGCCCAAGGGTGTCGAACCCTGGTTAGCTGGAAGAATAGAACTGACTCCTACAAGTTGTCCTGTAATCACCAAAAGGGTGCCAGGGGTATGCTCTCCCCAGGAATTAAATAACAAAAAACTTAAAACATCTTATTTGAAAAAAAAATCTATTTGAAAACATATTTCTGCCAGGGATGATGTTTGATAGTACTGTCCCTATCTACTCTCATAAAGCAGATGATTTGACTTTGCTATTAGCTACTTTAGGGATAACAAAGAATGTTTTAATGAAGTAACTTCATAGCCCCTGCGAGGACTAGCCAATTATGTAACATTGCTTTGCCCTTGTATCTGTGGACTCCCTCAAAGTGATGAAACATAAATTCCCTAAAAATCTCTCAAGAGCACTTAAAAGTACGAATTAGAATTGAGCACCCCAAACAATACTGAAGTTAAACCAGAACATAAGATCTTAAGAACAAAAAACATCCAAATAAAGCTACAGGCATCTAGCCAGTCATAGAGTGCCGCGTCACTTTAATCCCAGCACTGGGGAGGCAGAAGCAGGTGGATCTCTGTGAGTTCGAGGCCACCCTGGTCTACAGAGTGAGTTCCAGGACAGCCAGAGCTACAAAGTGAAATCCTGTCTTGTCTTGCAAAACAACAACAGAAAAAAAAAAAAAAGGAAAAAAAAGCTATTGACAAAGAGTTGGTTGGTTTTGTTTTTGGCTAAAAGATGTCTTTCCCCTAATCTTTAATCAAATGTTTTGAAACATAACAATAAATATACTCTTTAAATGGCCAAAAGGGAAAATACACAATGAATGCAGCACATGGGGAGTTTTCAGTAGTATTCTGAACACATATGTAAGTGACAAGAGACAAGAGCCCTGGCCTGAGCTTCTTCGTGAGCTGTTCTCCTCCTAGAACTGAGGTCCTCATGTAATATTCCATAACAGAAATGCCACTCTGAACTAGTGCATCGATTTTCCTTCTATAACACATCTACAGAACTGCTTTAAAGCAGTGTAAATCTAACTATGAGCTCCCAAAGGATGTATTTAAAATTCAGCGAGGTTTGGTGAACTCTGTCAAACCTTTTGCTGGTTTCTTTTCTCTTTTTTTGAGACAGGGTCTCAATAGATAGTCCTGGCTGGCCTCAAACTCACAGAGATCAGCCTGCCTCTGCTTCCTGAGTGCTGGGATTAAAGGTGCATGTCACCACATCTGGCCAGAAGCCAATCCTTTTACACACATTATTTTCCATAGAGATGCATGAATTCATATACATATCTGTGGGAAATTCTGAACCTTACCTTGTCCACAACATAGCTAAGAGTGAATTATAACTGTAGATGGCCATATTTATTTTTTGTTTTAACTAGCCAATAAAGAGACCTAGGCAAAAGAAGTGAATAATTTAGTATTTTAAAAAGGCATCAATTAAAAAGCAGAATTCAGTTTTGTTAAACTAATGCAAGTGGAAATTTGAGCATTCAAAGTGCAAAAGTTCCTCCAAGCTCATGGAAACAGTCACGGTAGTAGCTCTGCATGTGAAAACGGTACATTTGCGATCCCAAAACACAGAAAAGGGTTGGTTCTAAGAAGGTGCTCGTGAAGACGACATGGCCTCCAAAGGCTTTTTTTATTTCTGGTCAATAGTGTCTAGTTATCTGCTGCGACGGTTAAAAGAAGAAAGACATCTTTATCTGTAACCAGAAAATACAGAGAGTAAACATCCTGCATTCATTTTCGGTCCGTTTCCCACATTGTTTGGTCAAGCTACAATCAACCCTAAAGTCTAAAGAAGTATTCACCCATGTCATGCGAGGTTACACATCATTAGAGATAGGTACCATTGCACAAGGTACCTCTAATGGTTCAAATGCAGATGAAAACGGATCCCATCCAAGTGTTACTGAATCTCGGGATTCAGTACCTGTAACTAAAACCGTTCTCCACCCTGAGCCGCTTTTCAGCTACTGGCAGCAACTCTGCTCTCTCGCAATCGCGCCGAGAGGAGGTTCCCCCTATAACTCTCCCCCACTCCGCCCCCGATCCCGTGGAAACCTTAATCCCAAGGCTACCATCGCGAACCCGGCTCAGCACCTCGGAAACCAGCCCCACCGCGGTTAGCGCTCCTCCGGAGGGGGGCCAGGCCCGCCGCGGAGGCTTCCCAGCCCTGGATCGCGGGTGGCTACGGGCCACTCCCAGGCAATCGGCCCGGCGTTTCGGGGAGCCCCAAGCCCAGCGCTACGAGGACCTCTGCACCCCGCGCTTGCCGCACCGGTGCAAAAGGCGCCCTCGGCTCTCGGCCGGCGGCCTCAGAGGATGTGGGGCGTACTGTTGTGGGTTTGGGGATTGCTGGAGTGGGGTTAGGTACACGGAAGGGGCGAATGTCAGCTGGGCGCCAAATCTGACGGGCCGGGTGGGGAGCTGAGGGGTGATGCGGGAGGGAGCGCGAGCTGCCTGTGGGATGATGGGGGCCCCAAACCCTACCTTCCCAATTCCTCCCCGCCCCCAAACTAGAGGGGCCGGAAGCCTAGTCTCAATGGTCCCGCCTCCTGCGCCTCGCCCTGTGGCGTCACTCCGAGTGACGCTACAACCATCCAATGAGCTCTCAAATTCTGGGAACGGCTCGCGTCCTTCACGGTAGCACGTGAAGTGACTTGTAGGTTGGACTTAGTTTAGGGGGCGTCTGTACTACAGGGGCCGAAACTGCGTTAGTAACGTCTGATAGTCGGCTTGATAACCCATCTCGGAGTCACTAGTGACATCGCTTCGATGGTTTTTCCTCTGTCCCTCTGTCCACTCAAACTCTGAAACTGCCTAGAGGAGTTTGTGAGGTCCCGGTAGCAGAAGGGACAGCCTTGGGAAGGGAAACATATTTCTTCTGCAGGGTTAAAGGTTGGAAGGCTGCTGGAATCGTCATATGGAATCTGAATTTCACTAAAGAAATTGGTTTCTTAATGTTGTCGCTTATTACTGGTTTGTGTAGAAATCTCAACATTTAAAATATATTCTAAAGTAGCTGTTAAATAAGGTAAGCATTGCAGGTTTGGGGAGACTTTAGTTCCTGGCGGGGGGTGACCAAGCCACCTTTGGAAAGTGAACGTTCTGAAAGTTTGCGTGTTCCCATTTGTTCAGCTTTTATTTTTTCATATTTATTTATTTATTTTTCATAATCTTATGTAGCAGAGGCCAGTCTGAAACTTAATAGATAGCAGAAAATGGTCTTGAGCCCCTGAAATGTCTGCCTGCCTTCTGAGTGTTTGGATTACAATTGTGCACCACTACGACCGACTTGGGCTTTTAAATTTATTTTTAATTTTTTTTTTTTTTTTGAGACAGGGTTTCTCTGTAGCTTTGAAACCTGTCCTGGAATTCTGTGGACAGGCTAGCCTCAAACTCACAGGGATCCGCCTGTCTCTGCCTCCTGAGTGATGGGCATGCACCACCACTACCAGGCTTTGTTTAAGGTTTTTGAGACAGGACTTCACTATGTAGTTCTGGCCAAACGGAACACGTTGTGTATATTTACCTCCCGACTGCTTGCATTTAAAGATGTGTACCACTATGCCTGGCTCAAATTTTTCTCAACCTTTCTCTATCTGACAAATCTGGTCAAATTATGGGCTGAACAAAACAGAATAGTTTCTGAGGGCCAGGCGCGGTAGCACAGCCTTTTATCCCAGCACATGAGAGGCAGACAGGCGGATCTCTGTGAGTTCGAGGTCAGGATGATGTACAAAGTGAGTTCCAAGGCAGCCAGGGCTACACAGCAGGATCCTGTTTCAAAAGAACCAAAAAAGGGAAAAGAAAAAAGAAATGCAGGCCGCTTTTAATCCACAAAAGTCTATTTCAACTGAACCGAATGGACTATTTAAAATAAGCAAACGTTTCAGTTTGGCCGCTAGGGGTCCCTTTGTGCATGTCCGACAATTTTCCACATAGGGGTTTAGTTTCACAGATGATCTTCAAGAATTAAAATTTACAAAACTTACCCTCTTCTTCCCTGCCTTCAGACAGGGTCTCACTGTGTAGCCCTGGCTGGCCTAGAATTCCCTATGTGAACCTGGCTATCCTCAAACTCACTGAGCTCCTCCTGATCACCACACCAGGCTAAAGCTTTCTTTTCTCCTCCTGAAAATTCTAATGGTAAAATTATAAGCTCTACGATAATAATTTGAATGTTGATTTTATAAGTGAACCATTGCATTATCATAAACATGTATTCTTCCAGAAAAGATTAATAAAGGATGCAAAAAACATTCCTGTCGTCTCACAGTGAGATATTTAATACTGGAAAATTTCTTATCCATGTATTATATTCACTTACAAACAAGCACAGCAAAATTTATTAAGTATTTATAAGCCAGCTGAACTAGCCCATACCCAATATTTGAAACACCAAGTAGATTTTCTAGCATGGTCACAAGTCAGCAAGCAATCCAATTCTTAAAAATCGGGAGGGGGTAAGAACGCTTTTTATGAAGTCCATTTCTTTAAAACAGAAGAATACTCTCTCCAGGCTTGTATATGTTATCGGGCTTGACATTTGGATTTTAGGATAAATGTAAATTTATCTATTTATCTAAAAAATTTTTTCAGAAGAGAAGCCCCCAAAAGTTTTTACTGCCATAACTCCGAGAAACCTATTCTGCTTCTGTCTTAATGTTTACTACGAAAAGAGTAAGCATGTTCTTGAACCTCAGAATATGTTAGATGTTGAAAACATAAGGCATTATGTGTGCCTACTTCCCTCAATAAAATCTCTAAGGGGCATTTATGAGCTCCTCAGATGGGAAATCCAAAAGCCTGATTGAGAAGCGAGAGCGTTGCAGGAGGAGGGAAGTGGAGAGGGCTGGGAGAGGATCAGGCCAGGTCCACATCACTTCCCTGGCTCACCCTTATTTTACACATTTGCCTATTCGTAAGTGCAGTTATGGCTTCTTTAAGTTGTAGTAATATCGAAGGATAGGTTAAAATAGTGAAAAGCCTGGCCCGGGACTCCTAGACTGTGATCCGAGCTACTAGGTAGGCTGAGGAAAGAGTTCCTGAGTCCAGTTGGAAACGAGCCGGGGCCACATAGCAAGCCCCATCTCAAAATAAACGAGTAAGAATAAATAGAAAATGGTTACAGATTAGCTGGGAATGGTGGGTTGTGTTTATAATCCCAGTACTCTGGAGGCTGAGGCTGGAACATTGGCAGGAGTTCAAGGCCATCTTTGGTTAACAAAACTTTACAGATTAACAGTAAACTAGGCTAGGGGAGGTGGTTCAGTAGAAATGTGGCTTACATGGTGAAAGCCTGGAATCAATTCCTACAAGCGTCCTCTGATGTTAACACACAAAAATTAAAATGTTTTGGTTTTTTCCTAGACAGGTTTTCTCTGTATAACAGCTCTGGCTGTCTAGAACTTGCTTTGTAGACCAGGCTGACCTGGAACTCAGAGATCCACCTGCCTCTGCCTCCCAAGTGCTGGGATTTAAGGCATGTGCCTCCATGCCAGGCATAATAATAATTAAAATAATGTAGAAAATTAATAGTAATGCCCCCCAGCCCCAGTGGTGGCAACATGGCTTAATTCCAGCACTCGGGAAGCAGGCAGAAGAACTGAGTTTGAGGCTGTCCTGGCCTACATAGAGAGTTTTGGGATGGCCAGGGACCCTGTCTCAAAAATTTTACTAAATAAATAAAATCAGTTGGATTGCTTTCAGTGTTACCCTTAGTATTAGCAGCCACGTTAACAAACACATACACATTTAGTGCCCATTAAAATCTCTGAACTGGCCCGGAGGTGGTGATGCACCATTTTAATCCCAGCACCTTGGAGGCAGAGGCAGAAGGATCTCTGAATTTGAGCCCAGTCTGGTCTACAGAGAGAGTTTTAGGAAAGCTACGGCTGTTACACGCCTCAGAAAAGCAACAACCACCACCCCCACCCCAAGCTGGGTGGTGGTGGAGCACACCTTTAGTTCCAGCACTTGGAAGGCAGAGACAGGTGGGTCCCTGTGAGTTTGAGGCCATCCTAGTTTACACGAGATAGTTCCAGAACAGGCTCCAAAAACTACAGAGAAGCCTGTCTTGAAAAAACAAAAAACCCAAAATAAAAATAAACAACAAAAAAAGTCAAATCACTGAAATGTAAATATTTTGTAAAATTCTGAGGTGGTGGGCTGGAGAGATGGCTCTTGCAGAAGACCAGAGTTCGGCACCCAGCACCCACGTGATTGCTCACAACCACCCTTGACACCAGTTCCAGCAGATCTGACACCTCTTCTGACCTCCCCTGGGGACCTGGCATGCACAAGACGCGGAGATATACACGTGAACCACGCACTCAAAAATATAAAATTATAAAATCTTCAAAAAAAAATTCCAAGCTGGTATTTGGAAAGAAATACATCAGCAATCTCCCGTCATGGTAGCAAATCGCACGAGCACTGTAGTATCTCTGGCGAGAGAGTATGACACTTGGTAGTGATAGGGTTCTGGACTTCTCGGAACAGAAAGCAAGGGCGTGTATCGGTTTCCTCATCTGATCGCTACGTCTGTTCCTTTTGTAAGTTCACGTCTCTGGGTTGATGGTTCTAAGTAATCACCACCAGGCCCCAGGAAACTACCTCTGCACTCCCTTCGAGACTGTTTACCCGGCCCTGTCATTGTTTTATTCCTATTTCCTAGAACGGGGAGGGCTGGAGGTTTGCAGAGCACGACCTCCTTCCTCTCTCTCGGGTGATCGCTCAGGGACAAACACCCTCACGTCACTCGGTGCCGAGGTCTGGCCCCGAGCAGCGCAGGGCCCGGGCACGTGACCCGCCCGCAGTCCTCGCGGTGGCCCGCGGCCCGGGATGCAGTCGCGCTGACGTCCTCCTGGTTACCCACAAGCCTCTGTGCCCCGGTGCGGGCAGGAAGAGGGCAGCCGGGTCCAGCGCCTGCCCAGGAGGTCGGGGTGCCTTCTGAGCCGGACGCGGACGCTGCTCGGCAGCCCCTAAGCCCCCAGTGCTTGCAGCCTGGCAGCCTTCCGTCTCTCAGCGGGGCAGCAGGGGAG